AGCTTCCTTGTAAATTAGTATACATCATGAAAGCATGAAATCTTCCTTGTGGTGGGGTTTGTATCTTTGTCTCAAACATGCGCTGCACAGGAATGAACATTCCTAAGAAGAGATGGGCATTTTCAGCACTCCATAATTAAATGTAGCTTCGTTACTACAAAGAGCTCATTTGTCAGTCCATAAAACATATTTCTGATACCTTTGTATTCAAGGAGGAATCTCAGTGTTCTGCTTAGAAGTGAGGGAAGTTCAAGGAAGATACCGCTGATGTTCAAATAGGGTCAAATATGAACACTGATAAGGTAAGAGGACAAACAAAAAATTCAATAAGGAACATGAAACCTAAAGCAGTTGGAAATATCCTGTAATGCACAATGCACCAAGAATCAGTACACACATCAATGTGATCCCAGGATCTGTGCCCTTCTTAGGAGAGTTGCAGAGAAGGAAAGCATGTCATCAGACAACACCTGGTAGTGACGAGCCTTGATTTCTGATTCTTCTGTCTTAAGCTGCTGAGACACTGGATATAGGCAGGGTCACCAAGGTTGGCTTCAATAAGCATCTTAAAGAGATAATCCTCAGGCCTATATTAGCTTCCTGCTTCCTTATTTTTAAGTAACGCAGATGAATCTGAATTTTTCCTGCTCTAAGTAGATCGGAACTTTAAAATCACAACGTTTTGCAGAAATAACTAGCAAAAGCAAACGTGATAAACATTACTGGGAAAGCTCGACCCCCGACCCCTATGCTGCAACCACAGAACTTTAAAACAGGCTGAATTTCCTGTGGCTGACTTCGCGGAACCCTGTTTCCCTCCAACCTCAATTTCTCACAGCTGGGCGGGAACCGTAGTCCTGTACAAATCCTCTTCCTGGATTCCTGGAAGTCCTTCGCACTGACCTGTGGGAAATGTAGTTCTGAGCATGTGACGTCACACAAAGGGACTGTGGGTATCAAGCTTCCGCATTCCTTATTCAAACTTCGCTTCTTGCTCAAGTTAGGAGCGTGTCCTGCTGCTCAGTGCTGGGCGTGGATTTCTGACGTAGAGGTTGGTGCAGGGAGCTGGGGCGTCCTGCAGATCTGAGCAACTGCACGGTGGCGGGTCCGGCGCGGAGGGAGCTGACTTGGACTGGTTGGGAGACCGGGAAGCTGACGTGTAGGTGTTGTGCTGACCTAGGCTGGGCCACTGCCCCCGGATGCAAGTTTGACCAGGGAGAAGGTTGGAAACAACAGGATTTCAAGGGCAGGCTGAGTCAGCTGACTGCCTGTGCCTGAGGAGCCGAAGGACGCTCACTCATATTTCCTGGGTAAACCAGTTCTCCCTAGCTGACCCAGATTCACATGGTCAGAAGGCTCAGGACTCCTAGAACACATGGACATCTAGCCTCCTGAACTTCCTGTCCTGCTTAGTACTCTTGGTTAGAGCTCAGAGAGGTTCCTGAAGTTCCTAGTTTGCAGGGACAGAGTCCTGTGAGGGCAATTGTTGATTGGGATGTTAGTTCCTTTTCCTTGGGAATGAATTGTTAGGTTCATGGATACCTGGCATTGGACAGGAATCTCTATGTCCCTGAGCCTTGAATCATCAGCATCTGTTGGTATATAACCACGGAATAATCTTGTAAGAGGTATGAGCCTGTCCTTGCACAATCCACATAATTACAGATTTTACAGTTCAGGGTAAAGATTACTGAACAGTAATGCTTCATCATTTCTGGGACCGTGTAGTGCCTGAATTTTGGACTCTTTTTTTTTTTTTTTTTTTTTTCAAATGTGAGACGTAACTTTGATGACAAAAACGGAACTTATGATCTCTGGGAGGGGCCGGAATGTTTGAATAGGAATTTCTAGTGAAGTAAATCGCCACAGTACACTGTTTATAGCCACAGAATAACCTTGGAATTGGTATGAACCAATCCTTGCACAATCCACATATAAATAGACTTTACCCGAGTAAAAATCACTAGACGGTAATACCTCATCAATTCTGAGGCTGTGTAGTGTCTGAAGTTTGTGAGAGACGGCTGGATGTGACAACAGAAATGGAGCTCCTGATCTCTGGGAGGGGCTGGTGTGTCTGAAAGGGAGGGGAGAAATGGCTCTGCCGGGGGCTCAGTATATTTTACTTTTGTACATGCTTTTATCTGTTCACATTATCAGCTGTTTCTCAACTCCCTTAAATGTACTCTATTACTGAATGTGGCATCCAGGTTCACTGATGCTCCCTGAATAGTTCTAGAAGATTTGCCCAAATTTTTGTGCTGTGTTACAGAGAATATAAGATGAATTTGGAAAGTTGAGGCACACTCATGGTTTTATGATTTGTAGGTTCCTGAAGATGCAAAACCCACAGTTCTCATCTTAACAGTTTAAGAGATAGTTTAGTCTAGAGCCATTTTGAGTGGCCATGAACTGGGAATACAGATTTAGGTTACCACAAATTCCATGCTCCAACATGAAAGCAGTTTCATGGTGTTACAGAACAAAGAATATCCTTAATCAAGGGAAGTTTGTGGGTGCCACAAAGAGGCAGGTCCTATGTCATGGGGAGTTATTCTATTTTCCTAAGGTACTATCTGATGACATTCTTAGCTTTTGGACTGATAGGAGCTCATGTTCTACCTCATTGGTGGATTCTAGGAAGTTTTTTATTTGTCACATGTTTTTTATCCACTCCAAGGTAAGGCAACGACCCCAAACCTGAAATTTTCCAGTCTCTGCACAGCCATGAACGTCCACATGGGCCATCAGTCTCTGTAGACACAGCCTCCTCCCTAGAGTTCTTCATTTACAACCAGGCACAGGGTTTTCAGGATTTTCCTCCACATCCACTCTCCCTGTCTCAGGTGACCTTGGACATATTGTCACTCTTCAGTCAAACCAAGTGTTTTGAGATGGAGACTGGCTTATGACATTTCTACTCCTAGGAAGCATGGGCTTCAGACCACCTTGTCCTGTCTACTGAAATTTTCAGTGAGTTTCCAACCACATATAAAATAGTAGACAGTCCTAGTTAATGTTGCTAATCTGTAGGAAAAATATAACAGTATATGAAGTGGGAAAAGCACATTGCCTTGCACAACAGAACGGCTTCCTTACAGTGTAGGGATGATACAACAGCATGCTCATATATAACTTACTGGCACCAAATATTTATTTATTTATTTATTCATTTATTTTTCAATTAAACATTCCATGATTGAAAAGAAAATTAAGCCATTCTATGATTCATCTCTCTCATATCTCCATTTTGAGGAGGAGTCAGGAAACGTGGAGGTCATAATCATCCTCTGATTCATAGGCATGCAAGATGAGCCTAAACTACATTAGATGCTGTTTTTAAAAGATTCCTCCCACTTCTGAGCACCAGTGACCTGACAGGAATCCATCCAACTGACATCTTACTAACTATCAAAACTTAGACATGTGCTTAGAGAAGTTCTAATGACTGTGTTTGAAATCTAATCTCCAGGTTTTCACTAGCATCCTTTTGTTAATGACGTCATGTGTTGATTAGGAACTTGTTTGGAAAGATTCTCTTTGCTTGCTTGACTCTTCCTCTGTATTTGGAGAGAATGTTAGTTATCTTCACATACTTGAATCATGATCTCATGGTGCTTTCTTCAGATTTTTCCATAAGAAAATTCAGACTCTACAAATGGAAAATGACAGCCACATCTACCACTGTCCTTCACATGTGATATCACAGCCCTCCAGCCAGAAAACTGTTAAAGTGGTATTCCTTCCTCTTCCTCAGGAAGGTATCCAGTCTCCTATGGTGTGCAGTTCCGCCCTTTCTTTGCAGGCTCATTTTATTTCATCCTAACATTAGTGTGAGCAATGATATGAATCAAGGACTTACTGGTTTTAACAGACTTAAAGTCATGTTTGACAAGTCATTCTAGGAAAACTCTGAAGGAACCTTTTGACAGGTTGTTATTCAGTTTCTGGTGATGGCTGTGTACCTGTCAGAGGCCGTGCATAAAAGGACACAAACTGTTATTTGGACAGATTTTGATAGACATCAAAAGGATAAAGGAATAAACCTGAGAAGCACATGGTGGTATGATTTCTGCTTTTGCATTAAAATAGTTCAGTCAGTGAGTGCAAGGACACTCTTCAAATCCATATTTATGTTCTTCCACCTCCCTAATTATTGTCCCTCAGTTGTTTCCCATTTCCCTGTGAGATCATAGGTACCCTCCATTATGTCTCTACTGTTCCCAAACAGCTTCACTGCCAGTGTCTTTGTGGCCCAAAACGACTCGGTAGAGGGTGCTGGTTCAAATGTTGGGAGTCTGCTCCCTATGTGTTATTTTAGTCACATCTTTGCATAAGCACAATTAGGTGAAAATTCTTCTGGGGGTAGTTAAGTCAGCCCTCTATGCACAACAAAGCCTACATAAATCTCCTTGAGGAACAAGTCCTTATAATGTATCTTCTGCTGGTTTGTCTTATTGTGAGTTTTTCTTTTTGTTCTTTATTTGGATTTTTACGTTTCCTAGTTCTATCTTAACTTCAGCTTGAGTCAGTATTTCTCTTTATTGAATTCCAGTTTCAAATCCTGGATTGCCTTTGTGATTTTTCATCATTCTTTTTGGCTCGATGGGCATCACTCAAGCATTTATTCTTCTTAAGTGCATTATTGTTAATGCCATTGAGATGTTTTCTCATGCCTTTTCTAAACTTTTCATGGTTTTATGAAGTTCATTATTATACTCTTACAATCCTTGTCTTGGTATTCATCTAAGTAATATTATTGGCAAATATTTCTACAGACTGTGTAGGATATTGAGGGGAGATGCCAGTGTGACCTTTTGTGAAGGCGGAGTTGTTTGTTTGCTTGCTTTTTGAGACAGGGTTTCTCTGTGTGCAGCTCTGGCTGTCCTGGAATCACTCTGTAGACCAGACCTTAAACTCACAGAGATCTGCTATTCTTTTCAGTTATAAAACAACTCTGTATTCTTTTAACATAATACTTTACTTTTTATATTCTCCTTTTCTGTGATTTTGAAGTCATCTTAATGAGGTCAGAAATGAAGTTCTTTAATTTGCCTAAATTTTAACTAAACCGTAAATATAAAACAATCAAAGAACTGTAGCACACATGTTTTATTTGGGATAGTATTCCACTACATTAAAGGATGAAATGTGATCATTGTGACAGTATGGATGACGTTATATTTGTGAGCACAGAGTAAGAAATCAAAGGCAGGAAAGAGGCTGACAGCAAGAAATGAGACTGTTTATTAATCCTCACAGAGAGGGACACCAACACTCCTAAAAGTGTGGGATGGGGAGTTTGTGTGAGGTAAGCAAACTGCCTGGGACAGGTAAATTCTGTTTTTACAGCAAGACTGTCACATGAGACAGGACCATTATTGTTTCAGGCATAAAAGGCAAGTCCCATGTGATGTGTGACTGTGCTTCTTGCTCTATCAGACTGACTTACCTGTATCACAAACACTTCTAAGCTGAGATCACTGGAGCTGATCCACTGTGCCTGGTGGTAAAGCAGGACTCATAGGAGATTACAGGTGACTCTGCCAGCAGCCCTCTCACCCTTTCAAGAGTCTAGTGTCTGATGGGTCAACCTGTCTCAGCTTTGACAAACAGTTTGATGAAGGAGAGACTTCAGGAGAGAAAGGTGGAGTTCATGATGCAACAGTTTCCTCATTCCCAAGCCCCTTATTCTGCTCCTAGAAAGGGTTGTGGCCCCCTCCCCATTAGACTCCTTCATTACTCATGGGAGTGAGTCTGTCTTTCAGTGTGTGAGGTAATAAACACAGTCCTGTCTGTTGACAGTCAGACTCCTCTATCTCTTTTCTGTGGTTGGGCCCTTTATGCTGCCTCAGAAATCTAACGACAGTCAGACTTTGAAACTAAAGGATTTTAAATCACCTGAGAGCTGTAATTTTTATCCCATTGGCTGGTAATATCAGGAAGAAGAAACCTGGAGAAACAATGATCAATGAGTGTTGGGGTTTTGGTTGTTTTTTATTCAAATATGATGAAGGAATCTTAGGGTATAGATGCTAACCTGACCTCACAGGGATAAAGTTCTTAAGTGGCTAGGTGTGGAATGGTTAGACCAGAGATGAGAAATAAGGAAAAATACATAAAGAAGACAATACCTGGGACCAGAAGGTTGTAGCACTGGATCCTGTGTAAGACTGGCCTAGCCAATTCCACCACTGGACAGGGACAAAGAACCAAAGTTCCCATTGTCCTTTCATGGGCGCCCCTGAGATAGTCTTAGGTTAGTATAGGTCCCTGCGATGGCTTACCTTATTGCTATTTTTTTAAATTATAACTTTGTTAATATACTTTGATTCCATTTGCCTACAAATTCATTTATTGTTCTACCCATTGGCTGTTCAAACTCCTGCTCTGTTGTTGCATTGTTATTTGCATCACCCCTGTCATGCTCAGGAAGGCAGACTTAGCCCAGAGCTGCTGCTTCAGATCTGCATCTTTATTTGTCATTGGTGACTGTGCATATTGGGTTGAGAAGTACCTTCTCCGTCACCGTGGCTCCCTACTGTGAAAAATGCACATAATGTGTGCTGTATTATAATACAAGCATGGGACGCTAAAGTATATTTTTTTCAAAATATTACTGTTAATTTTTTTGTTGTGCTGGCTAAATTCATGTGAACGTCAAAAAAACTATAGTTATGGGAGTGTAGGGAATTTCAGTTTAGGAAATGCCTTTATAAGATTGGATTGTCACAGCCTATGGAGCATTTTCTTCATTAGTGATTGACAGAACATGGCACAGCCTGATAGGGAGGTGCCACCCCTGGGCTGGTAGCCCTGGGTTCTATAAAGAAGTAGGCTGAGCAGGCCTCATATAACAAGCCTGTAAGCAGAACACACACACACACACACCCCGTCCTGCGCGCGCGCGCGTGACCTCTGCATCGGTTCCTGCCTCCAGGTTCCTATTTGAGACCCTGTCCTGACTTCCTTCAGTGATGAACAGTGCTATGCGAGCCCAATAAAGCCTCTCATCCCCAGTCAGTTTTTGGTCATGGAGCTTCATGACAGGAATACAAGCTCCAACTAAGGCATATATGTGATTGTAATTTGGTAGCATACATGTCTGATCCTCTCTAAGTGTGAGAGCTGCCATATGGCTCACTTAGTTGTGAGCGGATTGTGGCTTCTTGGAATCAACCCCAGGTCCTTTGGAAGAGTAGCCAGTGTTCTTAACTGTTGAACCACCTCTCCAGTCCCAATATACTGTTTGTAGATACACTCTTTCTCCATTTTATGGTTCTTAAAAGAACAATATCCATAGGAGTTTCTAGGATCTTCCATCAGCTTTCCTTGAAGATGAGTACTCTGTAACATTCCAGCACCACATCAGAAATATATTAGTAATATTACCTATATCAGGAGCATTTTCAGCTCTCCTCTCATTCTGGGTGACCTTTAGATTGGTATGCAGAAGCACATGACACCTCTTGGTGTGTATGTAATTAGCATAATGTGTGGTAGTCACTCTTTTTTTTTGTTTGTTTCAGGATATGCTGTCATTCAGTGATGTGGCCATTTATTTCTCTGCAGAGGAGTGGGCATGCCTGGGCCCTGCTCAGTGGAATTTGTACAGGGATGTGATGTTGGAGAATTACAACAACCTTGTGTTCCTGGGTGAGGATCACTTTCATGATGAAGTCTTAATTAAATGTCAGCATGAAATTTGCATTTGCTCCCTTTGTACAATAATATCTCATGGGAGCTTGTGCTTCCAACAATGAGCTTTATAGGGCTACCTTTAAAGGGGTACCTTTAAGGAAAATTAAAATTATTCATATACCTTAAAACTATTCTTGTGTTCATAACCCCACACCCTTTTTAAATGTATGCTTTATATTAGAAAGTCAGTGACATGATCAGTGGTGATATACCTGAAAAAGACTTTCTAACATACTTCAGCTTTACAAGTTTTCCTTGTAACTAAAAAATGTGAAGCTCGGGACCTGAAAAATCCTAAATCCCTCCTATCAAGAAAACATAAAAAACTAATCCTCTACACTCTTTTATTGTGTCTTCTCCTTCCTAATACACACAGTCCGAGACACAACATTTTATTACCCAGGACAACACACTAACAATGCTATTTCCTTTTCTCACAAACAGGTCTTGCTTCCTCTAAGCCATCCCTGGTCACATTTCTGGAGCAAAGACAAGAGTCTTCAGATGTGACTAGACAAGCAGCTGCCACCCTGCCCCCAGGTATGCTGGAATGAGGGGTCAGAGGACAGAGTGGGAGATTCAAAGATACAGCATGAAGCTATGGAGACACAATGTTCGGAGGGAAATCATCGTTTAAAAAAATTTTATTTTCTGTCTTTTGCTGTCATTGGAGGACATTTATGTGATATTCAGGATGTGTTGAGTCTCATAAGCTCATAAGTCATTACCATGACATCCAAAGCTCTTTTCTTTCTCTTTTTTTAATTTGTTTTATGTGCATTTGTATTTTGACTGCATATTATGTCTGTTTGAGTGTGTTAGATCTTGAAGTTACAGACAGGTGTAAGCTGCCATGTAGACACTAGAAATTGAACCTGGGTCCTCTGGAAGAGCATTCAGAGCTCCTAACCATTGAGCCATCTCTTCCGCCCCTGCTCTGTTGTTTCTAAGTGATTTTTAGCTTGGCTATTTATTTTCTTCATAAGTTATGCATAAAACTTATTGTCTTGAATCCTTGAAATGTATCATTTAATGTTATTATGGACCATCTTCTTCACATGCAGCCACATTTTTATAACTTCCAAAACGAAAACTATGTATTTTGGATATATACAAATTGTATATGTTTTCTATACATATACATGTTGAGATGTTTTCTAATTTACACTACTTTTAATTTTTTTTCATTTAGTCATAAAAGTTTAAAAGGCTAATTTGCATTTGTATAATGCTATTATGGGTCTTTTCTGATATTATGCCTTATATGTTTGACTTTGATTAATATTTCATAATTTCTGTGTTCTCTGTTGTCATGGTTTTCTTGCTTCAATAGTAGGTTACATGATTTTCACCAATTGTATGTTTTAAATTAGATTTCATTGAATACTGGTATAGAAATTTGAGTGTAGCTTATCATCCATATAGAAACTTGCAAGTATGAGTAAATGTTTTTTAAAATTAGCATTGTAAATATAAAGAATTTTGCTCAGTTTTTACTCATTTCTCAACCTTTCCTCATCAGGAAAAAAATGCTGTACATCCAAAGAATGTGGCAAAGCCTTTGATTGCAAAGAAAATGTTAATAACCACCAGAGAATTCATTTAAGAGTGAAGCCCTGCAAGCTTGAAGACCCTGACAAGTCCTTTCATTGTCCATCAGTACTCTCTGAACACAAGAGAATTCATACGGGAGAGAAACCCTACAAATATCAAGTATGTGGCAAGACCTTCCATTTTTCAACATTACATTCTGTACACAAGAGTCTTCATACGGGAGAGAAACCCTACAGATGTGAAGTATGTGGCAGAGCCTTCTCTTTGCCATCATTACTTTCAGGACACAAGAGACTTCATACAGGACAGAAATACTACAAGTGTGAAGTATGTGGCAAAGTCTTCCATTTACCATCATTACTTTCAGAACACAACAGAATTCATACAGGAGAGAAACCATACAAGTGTGAAGTGTGTGGCAAGGCCTTCCGTATTTCATCATTACTGTCTAAACACAATAAAATTCATATAGGAGAGAAACGCTACAAGTGTGAAGTATGTGACAAGGCCTTCCATTATCCATCAGTACTTTCTAACCACAAGAGAATTCATACAGGAGAGAAACCATACAAGTGTCAAGTATGTGGAACGACCTTCCATTATCCATCAGTCCTTTATAAACATATGAAAATTCATACGGGAGAGAAACCCTACAAATGTGAAATATGTGGCAAGGCTTTTCGTACTTCATCATTTCTTTCAGGACACAAGAGAATTCATACAGGAGAGAAACCGTACAAGTGTGAGGTATGTGACAAAGCCTTCCGTTTACCGTCATTACGTTCAGAACACATCAGAATTCATACAGGAGAGAAACCCTACAAGTGTGAGGTATGTGGCAAGGCCTTCCGTATTTCATCATTACTTTCTAAACACAATAGAATTCATACAGGAGAGAAACCCTACCAGTGTGAAGTTTGTGGCAAGGCCTTCCGTATTTCATCATTACTTTCTAACCACAAGAGTCTTCATACAGGAGAGAAACCCTACAAGTGTGAAGTATGTGGCAAGGCCTTCCATTATCCATCATTAGTTTCTAAACACAAGAGAATTCATACAGGAGAGAAACCCTACAAATGTGAAGTATGTAATAAGGCCTTTCATTGTCCATCACTGCTTTCTAAACACAAGAGAATACATATAGGTGGAAAACCCTACAAATGTGAACTTTGTGGCAAGGTGTACAAAAGTCCTTCAGAACTTTCTATACACAAGCGACATCATACAGGAGAAAATCCCTACAAATGTGAAGTTTGTGGCAAAGTATACAATCGTCCATCAAAACTTTCTATACACAAGAGACTTCATACAGGAGAGAAACCCTATAAATGTGAAGTATGTGGCAGAGCCTTCCATTTACCATCATTACTTTCAGAACACAACAGAATTCATACAGGCGAGAAACCATTCAAGTGTGAAGTGTGTGGCAAGGCCTTCCGTATTTCATCATTTCTTTCTAAACACAGTAGAATTCATACAGGAGAGAAACCCTACCAGTGTGAAGTTTGTGGCAAGGCCTTCCATATTTCCTCATTACTTTCTAATCACAAGAGTCTTCATACAGGAGAGAAACCCTACAAGTGTGAAGTATGTGACAAGGCCTTCCATCGTCCATCCTTAGTTTCCAAACACATGAGACTTCATACAGCAGAAAATCCCTACAAATGTGAAGTTTGTGGTAAGGCATACAATCGTCCTTCAAAACTTTCTATACACAAGAGACTTCATACGGGAGAGAAACCCTACAAATGTCAAGTTTGCGACAAGGCCTTTCATTGTCCATCATTACTTTCTAAACACAAAAGAATGCATACAGGAGGAAAACATGTACAGAAGTAAAGTATCATCCAAGCCTTCCATTTTCCATCAGTACTTTCTAAACACAAGGAAATTTATACAGAAGAGAAATACTACAAGTGTGAAGTATGTGGCAAGTGTTTAGACCTTCCTAGATTCTTTTTACACATTTGATAGCTCATGCTGGAGAGAAGCCCTACAAATGGGAGTAATGTAGAAAAGCCTTCTCTCCAGTCAATCCTATGTCAGCATAAATTAACTTACTGTTGGCATAATCACTGCACTGTGAACAGTTTACACTTGTTTATTTAAATGCTGATTTCTTTACCCCACTATCTCGTGTCAAGCCAAATATGGCATTGTAATGTTTGTTCTAAGTTTCCCTTGTCTCAAGTTTGTGTAAACATGCCTACCTTTTCTTCTCTGTTTTGCTAATAAAATGCCAATCAGCCAATGTTGAGCAATACAGGGAATCAGGTGAGACATCTGTTTCCGTGGAAGGGTGGAGAAAGAGAAAGGAGGTAGGAAAATAAGCCACAGGAGAGGACCAAGCTCCATCAGGAGGATTTAACCAGAACTAAAAAATGATTTAAAAAGTAACTGTAATGGGAAATTTGGCTCTGTGGAAGCTAGACTAGATTGAATATTTAGGACAGAGTAATTATTGCTCAGTATTGAGCTCTGGGCTAATTAAATAAATCAGAGTATCCGTATGTCATTACTTGGGTAAATTAGCTGGCTAAAGATAAACTGCCGCTGCACTAAATCTATGATTTGTATCATATTACTAATCCCTCTACATACGGAATCCAACATGGGACATGTTATTCATACCCTAAAAATTCATTATTAGACATTAGAAACATTCCAGAAGAAAAGTGCAAACTAGCACGCTCTGAGACCTAAGGTACTTTAGTGAGGGGAGGAGGAAAAAGTGCAACTGCTTCAGCCGAGGCTTAATCCAACTCTGGGGTTTGAAAGGACGGCCACCCTCCAGAGCTTCATTACTTAGAGAAATTAGGCAGCTCTGAGAGCACAAGCAAGGAAAGCAGGGCACAGCCACAGAACCAGGCAGATTACTCCTGCCTGGAAAGCAAGCAGGCCTGCATGCCTCAGAGGGAGGTCTTAGTGCTGGTCAGAGGAGTCTCCTACTGTGACACAGCTGTGGTTACTTAGCAACTGCAACCCAAAGGTCAGTTGCTCTCAGTTAACAAAACATACCTCCCATGGTACAATTAGTGGATTCAACCATAGGCAGAGGTCCAGAAGACAACAGGAGAGAGCAGCTGAGCAAGGAATGCCATAAAGTGCAAGTATCCCTGGGATTTATGCCTGGAGAAACCAGATTAGTTTAGAGGATTAAAAAGAGATTAAAACTGCTCAGGATTATGCTGTAAATCTTGATAGACAAATAATATATATGAGTCATGTGATAGCTGGGTTAAGAGAGAAACTGAAAAACACAATTTTATAAAAATAAACTTTAACATAAGATGTAACATTGAGGAAGTCATTGGTTTGAACCATTGTGACATCATGCTTGAGACAAGCAATTTGGGGGATGTTCAGTGTCGTAACAGTCCCCGTGTGGAAAGTGACAGGTAAATTGCATTAAAAGTCAAACCTGTTAGAAATGTCTGAAGCCATAGGCTGTCCACTGAGGAATCCTACTTGTAAGGAGAGGAGCTGACCTATGGGAGAGACTATCTGTTCTTCAGCATCAGAGATGGAGGGTTGGTGTGGGCCGGATCCTTTGGAGTCCAGATGATTCTATTATGAATATCAGATGCCATGTATAGGACTTGGGTTTGCCCTTCTGGGCTTTTGTTTTTAAAACATTTTCTTAGATGTCTGTTACTCTCCTCTGAAATAGGAAAGTTCCCACTGTTCCACCGCATATTAAATAGAGTAGTCTTTTTGTGTCTCTGAGATAAGCAACTGTTTAAATTTTACAGTCAAGAGACTAAACATTGGAATTGTGCTGGCACTATTAAACATCATGAGGACATTTAGAGATGGACTAAATGCCTCTTCTAGCGATGAGAGTGAAATTTTATGGGCATGGAGTAAAAAGTTATGATGTAAATTGATATATTTAAGTGTTGAGTTGACAGGATGAAGCTGTGATTTAATTTAATAATGTTAACTATATTGAATTTAGAGTCCCCATAGAAACAGCCCACTGACCATGTAAACCCATTAGTTCCTTGATTGTTCTGTGGCTGGAGAGATGGTTCAGTGGTGAACAGCGCTGACTGTTCTTCCAGAGGTCCTGAGTTCAATTCCTAGCAACCAGATGGTGGGTCAGAACCTTTGATAATGTAATCTGATGCCCTCTTCTGCCATACAGGTATACAAACAGCTAGAGCACTCATGTTCATAAATAAATCTTTTTTTTAAAGACCTATTTTAGATGCAGACAGTAGCACCCTGTAGATTGGAAACCTAAACTGAATAAAAAGAAAATGAATGAGCTCCCATAGTCACCTCTCTCTGATCCTTTTATTGGATGCAATATCAAATCGTGATTGTGCCCCAAGCATTTCCTCCCATGATGGACTACAACGTCATAGTGTGTCCTGCCTTTTGTAGCCTCAGATATTATCTGGGTGCATTTTAATATCAACTTGCCACAAATTAGAATCCTCAGCTCAAGAACTCTGATGATTGTTTTGGGAACTGTGGGAGCACCCACCCCAATTGTGGGCAGCCCCCTGGTAACAGCCGAGATCAAGTTGTTTTGCCTTGATTGAGCTGCCAATGCTACTACTACTGTCTTGTAATGGCGGAACCAGCACTTCCAAGCTTTTATTTTTGACTAGGGAACCGTAACTCTAGAGTAGACTTCAGGCGTCCAGTGCCAGATTGGAACTACTGAGGTCCCCTGCCTTTTGGCCTAAGTAACAGTGGGTGTTTGATCCCAAAATGAGACATCTACTGTGGGACTATTCTGCCAGCTGAGCTCCCAGCAACAAAGACTGACTATCTGTTTTGGAGTGTGTCAGGTGTGATTTAGGTATTGTGGTTTAAAGTGGAATTAATAAATTGTCATAAATATGTGTGTAATACACATACTTGTTTTCACACTATTGGTTGTGTTCCTCTAGAGAACACTGACTGATACACAGATACCTTGCCTGACCAACAAAACTAGTAGCAAATATAGAAAGCTATACAGTATGGTGTTGTTGGTTCATAATCCTTGCATGTGGGGTATAGAAGCGGGAAGATCAGGAGTGCAAAGTTAGCCTCACCTCAGTTTCAAGAGTGTGTGAAGTCCACCTGGGATGTGGTGGGTAGAAGGAAAGTGGCCCCCATAGATCCGCAGAGGGTGGCACTATTAGAGTATGTGGCCTTGTTGGAGTATGTCTTTGTTGAAGGGAGTGTGTCACTGACGGTGGGCTTTGAGGTCTCAGAAGCCCCAAGTCAGGACTAGTGTGTCTCAGTTTCTTCCTGCTGCCTGTAAATCCAGATGTAGAACTCTCAGCTCCTCCAACACCATGTCAGCCTGTATGCCACCATGCTCCCTGCCATTACGATAATGGACTAGACCTCTGAACTGTAAGCCAGCCCTAATTAATTTTTTTTTAATAAGAGTTGCCATCAGCATGGTGTTTCTCCACAGCAAACATAGAAACCCTAACTAAGATATGGGATATATGAAATGATCTCAGATGGAATAAGGTTATGATTATCAAATTTAATTGTGTACATATTGAATTATTGAAAATTCATTTAATATTTTCTATTGCAAAATTACCAAGTCCAATCTTTATCAACTGTGACTTGTCTTTGGATGATATGTCTTCTATATATATGAGCATTAACATGAGCATCACTGCAAGTAACAGTCATTGCATGTCTGCTCCATGTATGCTGGACTCTTAATGACCATTGCCTCAGGGAATCTATTCTTTGAGTGATAGAGAGAGGTGTGAGGCTTATCTTATGTCATTTTTTAGAATCTATACTAGTTTGTCAGATTACTGTAAAACAAAATTGACAAATACACAGTCCCTGATTGCACATTTTCCATTAAAGTGGGCCTGTAGGAGTATACAAAGTATTCATAAACATTGCATGGTTCTAACCAACATGTGCCCATCAGAACTGTTAATGTTTACTACAAAAATTTAATTCTCTGTATACTCATGTGACTAATTTACTATGCAGCTTCTGGTATTTATGTTGCTAAACAACAAACAAAAATACTCAGTCATTGTAAGGAAGAATAAAACAAGATATGAGTTCCTCACAGTGATAAAAATTACAATGTGATCTTTCTACCATCTCAGCTCAGAAACATCTTCCTGATGGATCATAGTCAATCATGTGATTTTTTTCTAAGTTTTTAAATTTTATTTATTATTTATACAGTATTCTGCCTACTTATGTGCCTGAAGGCCAGAAGAAGGCACCAGATCACATAGATGGTTATGAGCCACCTTGTGGTTGCTGGAAATTGAACAGCCAGTGCTCTTAACCTCTGAGCAGTCCCTCCAGCCCCCATCGTGTGGTTTTTTTAAACCTCTCCTTCCATGAAGCGTTATAGAGGGTTGCAATTTGGCTTCCCCAGTTCGGAAATGGACATTACTAAGAAGAGAGAGGAGGCTCCATTGCTACATGGTTCCAGTGTAGCTTCTTTATTCCAGTGAGCTCATTTGAAATTCTGACAAATGTATTTCTGATATCTTTGCATTCAAAGAAGAATCTTCTCTGTGTCCCCAACTGGAGGAATTGAGGGACGTTCAAGGCAGTATTCCTGGCTTTTAACATACTGTCACAAAGGTAGAGCAAAGGTAGGGATGATGGAAGAAAGAATAACCAAACCTAGTGCCGAAGAAACACCACAATGATGATGGGGCAGGAATCAATACATAACACTCAGCCCAGGGGAGTTGCAGAGGAGCTAAGTATGAATTCAGAGAACACCTGGTCATGACTATTTGCCTGAGTTTGTGAAACACCAGGGAGAAATAGGTGGTTTTCTAGTACAACTCTAACAAAAATTAAAATTCTAATCCCTATTCAGTGGGTAAAAGTGCGCACAAGGCACGGACATTCGGAAGGGTCCTCGACAGGATTCCTGGGGTTTTTTGCTTATAGAAATTCTGCAGTTATTCAATGACTCTGAAACATCTGTGTGCTGCCCCACACCCTACTCTGTATGGATCACTATGCTCACATGATAACTGATTTCCCAGGTATGGAGCCTCATGCTTAGCTCCACAGTGAGTCAGTTCAGGAGAAAAAGTTGTGTGTTTGTTTTTCATTTATTTGTAGTACTGCCATTAAGCCCAGGCCCGTTTAGTTCTAGGTAGGTAACTATCCCTTTTTGCTGGGATGACAGGCAGAACAGAGAAGCTGGCCTCAAATTCATGTGAAACAGTTACTTCTCAGTCCCACGTTAGCTTCTTGCTTCGTTATTTTACAGTAAAACTGAGTTAATGTGAACTTTCCTTGCTCCAGTAAGAGTCTACATTATGTAGACCTCAGGTTTATAATCACAAAAACATGACCAGAGTAATAAACCACTGGGAAAGGCTCAGCTCACATTCGGAATTCCAGATTTTAAAAGCAGCAGACTTCCGGCGGCTGTCCTGTTCCGAGAGTGCTTGTTCCAATCTACCTTGATTTGTTATCTACGGGGCTGAAATTGAACAGTTGCGACCAACACGCTCTGCGGGAGCCTGGAATATCCTCGCACGGAGTTGTGTTAAGTGTAGTCTCCGCCCCCACTATGACGTCACAGGCAGCAGCTCTGCCTACTGCACTTGCGCGTTCTGTCTGCATGCCTTCATTTTCCCGAAAGGTCAGGAGGTGTTTACAATGGTCTGTTCCTGTTGCTCTCTGGCTTGGAGTCTGGTTCACGGTGCAGTGCAGCCCTTCAGATCTGTGTGGGGCGGCCAGTGGGTTTGGAGGAGCCCACCTAGAGTGGGTGGGAGGCGCGAGACGCCGACTAGGACGCACTGTGCTGACGGCTTGAGGGAGGGAGATCCAGGTGGTGCTAGGAAAGGCCACTGTGTAAGCTCGGGGAAGCTGCCCGAGTGCACCAGGAGGTCTGCTGACAGGAAAGTTGCCGGGTAGCTCTGGAATGTGGAAGGATCCCCAGGGCAGGATGATTCCCTGAGCCTGAGGCTGTGCTCACTCTTCAGTTTGGGGGAAGCATGCTCTCTAGCTGTCCCACACTCACTCACGTGGCTTTTGTCATTTCTCAGGACATCCAGAGCAGGCTGGGTTTCTGGTTCCTCCTGTACTTACATCCTGCCCAGACTAGGTTTCAGGTGACAATGAGGGGACCTGGCTTAGCCCCCTCCCCGCTAAAAAAAGGCATCAGTCCCAGGAACTAGGCCATAGGTCACCAATTCCAGAAATAAGAAAACTATAAAATTCCATACCCAAGGAATAGCCTGGAGGTAACCACAGGAATGGGAAGGTATCTTATCTCAGG